CGGGCCTAATCGCACAACTCTGTTAAATTTTATTGCAATTACTCATAAAATTTAATTGCAATTTTTGTCGTGCGAATCGACTTTCAAATTTTCTGCAAATACGTACTTGCGCAATTAGATTGCAACATCTGTGACATAATACAGTTGATTTTTTCTACGATCTTATTGCAGGGTTCTTGCAAGGCATGGAACCAATGGTATCATAATTTTCTTTCACCTTCCTGATTTCGATATAGTTGGAAAAGAAAGTCGTCATGATGGGGGAGGGGGTCAAGAAGGGGCAACTACCCCCATCCCTTCGCGAAACACAGAAAAAACTGGCTCTTGCATGTCGAAGTATATTAGAATTTTTATTTCAACACTGACAATGAGTCCCCTCTAAAACCCTCCGAATTCAGATGCGTATGCTTTTACGTGGCAGGAAGGGCAGAACTCCAAGGGACCTATCTAGTATAATTTTACAAAGTTGCATTTCTCATGGATGTTATTAATTTATGTAACTCGGGCCATCGATGCAAATGAATAAAATCAGAGGCCAATACCTAAATGAGGGTTAAGAATGTCAAGGTCATTTCTCTGATTGCATAATAATTGGCTCGTGTAGCGTGTGACCGCACAGCCGGATTTTAGTGAAATTATAAATATCTCATTATAATTGCGTTTCCGCTCATTTGCGACTTTCTTCCGCGGAATTAGCGTTAGTTGCAAGTATTTACAGCCGGTTCTTCCCAAAGACATGCACTGACGACCAAATTTACCATCCAAAGGCACAAAAACACACACAAAAAAGGCAATTATATGAGGTTAAGATGATTCTACATCCGATATTTTGAAAGACTTGGCAGTAAAAGGGGAAGAAGAACATAGGTTTGCGAACGAAAAAACCGGGTAATGTAAGTTTCAAGAACTTTTAAGCACACTGGCGGAATGGAGAATTTGCATGCAAATTTTTTAATGCTTCATCTGAAAGTGCTTAAAAAGCTGATTTTACAGTATTTTTTATAATTTTGGTCTGATATGGGAAATAGTATAAAAATGGACTTAAAAAATGAGAAAATGCACCGCCTGGTGACAATATATTGCGGCATTTCCCATTTAAACGCACGTATTTTAGCAGATTCCATCATTTTGTCATATCTTCTCCAACAGTTGTTCAATTCATGAACCAAGGGTATCGTCGTGTTCAGTTCACTCAGTAGTTTCCGCTTAAACACAAAATTCATCAAATTTCAGGCACTTGCAAATTCTCTATTCCATACAATTTTAGGATATTCGAGGACTAGAAAATTTGAAAAACAATCTTCAAGTATTCCAAGGACTCTTCGTGGCATCACGAGCCCTGTAAATCTCTACCCGTCGAAAACACACAAACGGAGATTTCAATTTATAACATGCTGTAAGATTTTGACAGGGAGATCTCCGTGCTGGATATTGAATACCCCTGACATAAATGAATAATGAGAAATTTCAACAACATTTCAGAGACGGCTCATTTTTCACGCCTAAACCCGGAAGGCGCGTTGCGCGTTGCGATGGCACAGAGTAAATGAGCGATTGAGCATGAGCAATAAATCCGAAATAAACAGCCCCGACCAACGACGAACGCAATGGCGGTATAAAAATCCCCCGTCTGGGGACAGTATTTTTAGACAGGTGTAATAAAGACACTCGCCTCGAATCAACGGCCTCTCGAAGCTTATCAGAAGATCGACAGAATGGAGTTACTCAGGGTTGCCACAGAATTTAAAAAATATGAAATTCCCTGGCATTTCTCAGATTTCCCTGACACATTTTGGTGAAATTCCCTGACAATAAATTGAAGTCATGCCAGATGTTTACACTGGAAAAAAAAAACACATTGGATCTAGTGTCCAGACTCTTAAAAACATCGACAAGAAGAGGGACTCATGATTCAATCAGATTAAAGCTTAAATCAAGAACAAAGCCTCTTAATTTAAGCGGACTTCGTTTTAATTTAAGCAAAAATCCGATTGAACCAAGAGTATTTTTTCTTGTCAATGTTTTCATGAGTCTGGACTCTAGATCCAATGTGTTTTTCTTTTTTTCCAGTGTAATAAGACATTATTAGAAATAGTTTTCAGGCAAAATGTGTTGTTTGAAACGTCGAACCCATTCTAGACAGCAACTAAAAGGCGACCCAACAAATTTTCCCTGACATTCCTAGGATTTCCCTGACTTTTCCCCGTATTTTCTGACCGTGGCAACCCTATTTCCTGTAGAAAAGGAGTCGCAGTTTGCTGTTTTCAGTGTCACTTTATGGAAACATCACGCAAAATGCGCCGAAATTTTGAAAGACGGAGAATGGGGAGGAAAAACCTAAGTTAAGTTTTCAAACTAATTGAAATAACCGGGTAAATGCTTTTAAGGACTTTTAGTACATCGATGGAATTTCGTCTGCTTTTGCTTTTGCGCAGAGCATTCTGAGGGCAATCGATGTATTTTAAATTTTAACTATTTTGGTGGATTGTTTCGGGAAAATCGAAATATTTGTCTGTAGATCGATTATAAAAGAACTAAAGGGCCCTGCCCCCTGACCGCTACGCGGTCCAACCCCCGGGAAGGCGTCTCGCGCCCTCAGGCCCGCTTCGCAGGCCCTATACGCATATGTATAGGCAAAAATGTTCTTCCATTTTAATACACCATTTTTTGTTCGAGCTGCATAGATTTCAAAATTTTTGACGTAACACTCAGATTTGTAAATGATGAGGAATAGCTGGATGTACATATACCTTGGACCTTGAACCTTGAACCCTGAGCGATGCACCGTTCCTCAACGCTTCGAATGAGGAGCCCTTCACGAGCTTTTCCATTGTTTTATTGTTTATTCGAGTCACTCAGGTAGAATCCCACACCTTGACGTTTCTAGCGGAAACGACATATCTCTCACGCTATTAACATTGGACTTAAGTGACATGAACTTTAAAAGCTCTACAACATTAAAAGTTCGGGGTTTCATAATTTTTTGCACATCTACATCTACTACCGATGACATACATGTAAAGATCATCCTCATCGGTCCGGCAGTTCGTCAGAAATAGTGCTTCCAAGATTTTGCTTGTAGCTGTATAATATAGATACTCGTGCCGAAAATCATCTTCCAAACTCACTTTATTTTTAAAAGGTACTTCCGGGGAAATGCATCCTGATCATCTTGATTGAGACGCATCGGATGCTCGGGTCCGAGAGGATTTCACGAAGCTCAATCCAGGCAACATGACAATAGCACATTAAATCCAAGTCCTAGTGTCTAATTCTGTCGTGCTAAGGAAGAACGCCGTATGAGTCGAGCTACGGAAGAACGCCGTATGGGCCCTCAGACGTTGCCAAGCTTCCTTTGACAAAAACCGAATGGGTCAGTTGCGATGGTCACAGAATGAGTAGCTAAAAATTATAAGATCCGTCCAAACAGGAACTTTCCAAGTTCAATATTAGTATTTTGAAAATCCGCGAGTTTTTAACGTCATCCACCGCGGTATAGTGACACCCTTGGTTTCTTCCACCTTGCTTTCATCAGTCAGTGATGCACTGAGGGTGTCACCTCCGGGATGAATGACAAAAAAACCTGACTTTTCAAATGGCGATATTTCGGTTAATATTGAGCGTAGAAAGCTCATGTTGGGGCAGATCTTATTATTCTCAGCTAATCCACAAGAATCAAGCATCAAAACACGATCCTGTGACCAGCGCAACTGGCCCATTTACTGGGAAAAATGTGAATATTTCCCCCCAAAATTTTCAGACGATTTTGCACGCAGTTTAATGTAAATATCTGAAATTTTAAAGGAAAAATGTGCATGGATGTCGTAAAAAATACATGCTTTATCAAGGGAAACTTGGCAACCTAGAATTTTCGTGCAGCGTTCTTCCTTAGCACGGCAGAATTCAAGCCGAGTCGATTACAATCAAGAAATGCCTTGAAGGAGGAGTGGATTCTAGATTTTTCCTATGTGATTTATGTTGTTTTTGAGTAATTTAAACACTTGAATACATATGTGATGCAGCCGTGGCAAGGGTTCGTGACCCACACCTACGCAAAAGAGGGAGGCACGCTTGTAATGAAACAATTTTACGTGGNGGGGGGGGGGGGGGGGGGGGGGGGGGTGGATGTAAGTGACATCTAGGACAAAGGGAGAAGGAGAGGTCAAAGGTCGGGAAAAATGGGTTCCGTAATTCATGGACGAACCCTCACTACTTTTCAGCAAAAAAAGGAAAATTGTGAAAAGTGAGAGACGAATTAATCCGGGAAATCCAGGTACCCTCATTAATTATTGTAATAATGAGCTTGTTCAGCAATTCGTAATTCTTGCATTTTTGGAAACTAGAGAGTGCACAGAGTTCACAGGAATTTTCCCCGATTTTTTTGAGCAATATTAACCCACGAAATACGAGTCCAAAAGTCCGTATTTTGGGCTCCCATTTAAACGCGCGCCGCTTGGCCCATCTCAAAATGGCGCCCATTTTCTCCGTCCGGCGGTGGCCACACTTTNATTGGACGTATTTCTATCAAACGGAGCTATGTGCATTATGACGTGAGCCCTGTTAGGGACATATTCGTATGGGTCTCAGGGCTAATGTCTTAACGCACATAGTTCCGTTTGATAGAAATACATACAATTAGTTTTCAGTTCAATGAAGACATTTTCTTTAGTGAGCTTGCACTGACCTTTCACCTGGGAAATCCGAAATGTAGGGATATTTTGGAAATCGAAGCCACTCTTTTGTTTACGAGAAGAACAAGGAAAAAGTTGGAGACCTCGAGGGCTCGGAACTTTCGGTACTTTGGTCAGTCGAAGTCGCGCAGCCGTAGGGGTTGAGCTTGAGCTCAACCCATAGGAGGATAATTAAATCGGAAGTTCATTTCATCGGAAATAAATTCATCTCGGGACCGCGAGTGGTATTTGTGTGTTTCACGTGTATTACCATCAGTGTAGTTTCGTGTTCGGTACTTTAGTTTCGTGTTCGGTACTTTAGTTTCGTGTTCGGTACTATATTTTCGTGTTCGGTACTTTATTTCCGTGTTCGGTACTTAACTATTAACATTTTTCTCTGTGAATTATTTCGTAAATATAGAAGGTGCAGTGAATAGTTGAAAAACCTTACTATCCGAAAGTTTTAGTCTGCAAGCCTCTACTTTTTCCGTCCAGTGCGATAGTTTGCCGTGTTTTACAATAAGTGGAAGTAGTGTTTGTCACTCGTGTCGGTTGTCATCGTGCGAATTTTCGGTAGTGTCTTTTCAGTGATATTTCTGTGAAATTTGATTTGAGGATATAGTTTCGGAAGTCAATTTGCTCAAGTGTATTCTTCAGCGTTGATTCGGTAAGTCGCTTGATGTCATCAAAAAAAAATTTTTTTTTTCTTTTCTTTTTTTTTACGAGAGAAGTGGGGTTACATTTAATATCGGTGACTTAAGTGTGAAACCACGTATTTCCAGTAAATTTTATGCTACCATTTTATTTTTCGAGGAAAAGTAGGTCGACTGTTTGGCTTGATATCTTTACAGAACACTGAAAAAAAAACACATTGAATCTAGAGTCGAGACTCTTGAAAACATTGACAAGAAAAAATACTCTTGATTCAATCGGATTTTTGCTTGAATCATAAGGAGATCCGCTGAAATTAAGAGGCTTGGTTCTTGATCTAAGCTAGATTTGATTGAATCAAGAGTACTTTTTCTTGTCGATGTTTTTAAGAGTCTCGACTCTAGATCCAATGTGTTTTCTTTCCAGTGAATATTTTGTTAAAAGAGAGGAAAAATCGAGGTAGTTTTCAAGGAATAAGTTGACTAGTTTTACCAAGAAAAAAAAAAGTGTAACAGGAGGTCCGGGACGTCGCAGACGGAGATAGGTGGTTTCGCACTTCGGTCATCGATATTTAATTTGTGAATCCCTGTGGGCGATAATCTTTTGATTTTCTCGAGATTTTTTTCACAATCAGTGGAGTTATCAAGGTATTCTGCGTATTGAAATATGTTGCAATTTTTTGCATTTGCGAATTACCTAACTTCTTCATAAATCGATGGCCAAAGTGGAAAATCATGCATTTCTATTGTGGTGTCATAAAATTTCCACCTTTATTTTATTTTTTCGAAAAGAAACAAGCAAACTTCATAGCTTGAAATTTATACAAAGTATTCTGCAAAAGTTGAAAAAAAATCACGCAAGTTTTAAAGAAATTAGGTAGACCAGTTCCCCCGAGAAAAAATGAAGTATGACAGAAAATCTATTGAGTAGCAGACGGAAGCGCGTGTTTCTACACTTAAGGTGATTCGATGGACGGGATATTTTGTGTCAGAACGGCATGCGATATATCGCATCAATTGGTTCCATTTTTTCAGTGTTCGTCATTTTTCTCCAATTTTGAGATCGCGATTCTATTGTCAGGAGACTAAAGCACTCACTTACCAATTTTAACAAAGAAATTCAACGTACTAAAGGCGTGGTTTTTTTAGAGAGAAAACATCGCATTCGATACTGATATCGAAACTGCACTCGAATGCGATATTTTCTCTCTAAAAAAAAACCACGCCTTTATTACGTTGAATTTCTTTGTTAAAATTGGTAAGCGAGTGCTTTAGTCTCCTGACAACAGAATTGCGATCTCAAAATTGGAGGGAATGACGAGTAGCTGAAAAAATGGAACCAATGAATGCGATATATCGCATGCCTTTCTGACACTAAATATGGCGTCCATCAAATCTCCTTAAGTCGTCGATATGAAAATGTTTAATCGTTGAAAATTGATTATTATTGATTACAGTATGTGAGTATATTGTAATTTTGTGATAAAAAAGCAGTTTTGTTCCATTATTTTTCAACATTATTTCAATTTATTTGTTAAGCTGTTCCATATACTAGACAATTAATTAAATTAATTTTTTTCTTTGCAGCCAACATTTGAGAAGGCGATGAACGAGGATGGAAATCTTCACCCTACGCATCAGAGCTGTTCCTGACCTTGCAGATCATCGCTTCTTCACGGTAAGATCTCTCAAGCTTCCTCCTATTTCGAAAATTAAGGTGATTCGATGAACGCCATATTTTGTGACAGAGCGGCATGCGATATATAGCATCGATAAGTTCCATTTTTCCGGCGACTCGTCATTTTTCTCGAATTTTGAGATCGCAATTCCATTGTCAGGAGACTAAATAATTCACTTATCAATTTTGATGAACAAATTCAAAGTATTAAAGGTGTGAGGAAAATAGAGGAAAAATACTGCATTCGAATGCGATATTTTGTCTCATAAAAAAAACCCATGACTTCATTACGATGAATTTGTTTGTCATTTGGTAGGTGAATTCTTTAGTCTCCTGACAACAGAATTGCGATCTCAAAATTCGAGAAAAATTACGAGTAGCTGAAAAAATGAAACCAATCGACGCGATATTTCGCAAGTCGTTCTGGCACAAAATATGGCGTTCATTGAATCACCTCAATTTCTAATGAATCGGTTACTGTCAATAATTTCAATTTTTGAAATGGGCTGCTAAAAAATTTGAGGGGCTTGGAGGACAAGGCGCATAAGTGCAGTTTTTGAAAAAGTTGAGATTTTAATGATTTCAAGTAAAACTAGTCTAAGTGCTTATTTTGTGAAAAATTCCCTCTCAAATTTCAATTTTTAAGCTTCAAAAAGTCAGTTTGAACTTTCTTTCCGCCATAAGGATCCGTGTAATTTTGAGACTTCAAATACATATTTCTCGATAATGATTTCAAGTAAAACTAGTCTTAGGGAATAAAATTCCCTCTCAAATTTCAATTTTTAAGCTTCGAAAAGTCAGTTTGAACTTTCTTTCCGCCATTTGGATCCGTGTAATTTTGAGACTTCAAACACATAATTCTCCAGGTAGCAAAAACTGCACTTACGCGCTTTGTCCTACAAGCCTCTCATTCTTCCTCAACGCTGATCATCGCCGCTGTCATCATTCAGGCGATCTTGGGTAAAATCAACTTAAGGTGATTCGATGGACGCCATATTTTGAGTCAGAATGGCATGCGATATATCACATCAGATTTTTTCAGCTACTCGTCATTTTACTCCAATTTTGAGATCGCAATTCTTTTGTCAGGAGACTAAAGCACTTACTTACCAATTTTAACAATGAAATTCAACGTAACAAAGGCGTGGTTTTTTTAGAGAGAAAACATCGCATTCGATACTGATATCGAAAGTGCACTCGAATGCAATATTTTCTCTCTAAAAAAAACCACGCCTTTATTACGTTGAATTTCATTGTTAAAATTGGTAAGCGAGTGCTCTAGTCTCCTGAAAACAGAATTGAGATCTCAAAATTCGAGAAAAATGACGAGTAGCTGAAAAAATGAAACTAATCGACGCGATATTTCGCATGTCGTTCTGGCTCAAAATATGGCGTTCATCGAATCACCTCAACTTCTAATGAATCGGTTACCGTCAATAATTTCAATTTTTGAAATGGGCTGCTAAAATATTTGAGGGGCTTGGAGGACAAGGCGCATAAGTGCAGTTTTGGAAAAAGTTCAGATTTTAATGATTTCAAGTAAAACTAGTCTTAGTGCATATTTTGTGAAAAATTCCCTCTCAAAATTTCAATTTTTAAGCTTCAAAAAGTCAGTTTGAACTTTCTTTCCGCCATAAGGATCCATGTAATTTCAAAACTTCAAACACATATTTCTCGAGGTAGCAAAAACTGCACTTACGCGCTTTGTCCTACAAGCCCCTCATTCTTCCTCAACGTTGATCATCGCCGCTGTCATCATTCGAGCGATTTTAGGTAGAATCAACTGAACTACATTTCGTCGCTCCTCTGACGTAAGGGCGTAACTTGATTTCTACGTGACCCCTGTGCTCCGTATAACTCTATGCTTTCTAAGGCTCATGCAAAAATCTAGAAATGCCCTTACGTCAGAGGAGCGAAGATTTGACGGTGCTTAGTTTTTCCTGATGTTCTGTTTCTATAATACTGCAGAACTACGGAACATAATGCCTTGAAACTGTCTTATTTTTCCAAGATTCTGCAGAATAAATTATTCACTGAATTAGCTACGACAGGATTCAGCTTCATTTTTTGTCATTTCCCGGACGAAGAAACGTAACTCCATTCCAAGGTTGTCAAATTGATTCAAAGAATTCAATTTTTCACAAACACGAGAAAGCGAAACCTTTATCCAAAATTTATTTTTGTTTTTCATGAGATCAGCGGAAAAATCAGTGAAATGTACTATTAATACCTAACATTTTCCTTTACAAATTCAAATTTACGAGGCGAAATTTGGCAACAATGAAATGGACCACATTTTGCAAAAAAGAACCACTATTTCTGGCTCATTTTAGAAACAACGTATATGCCATTGGTTTCCCTGTGCAGAACGGTGGTTTTATGGAAGAGTCAGAAATAGTGGTTCCTTACTGCAAAATGTAATCCAATTGTAGTTATGTTCTTTCGTGGGAGGTAACGACGAATTGGACTGCATTTTGCAATTTGGAACTATAAATTCTGGCTTATCTGAAAAAAACACTTATGTGCATAGGGAGACTAATGGCACATGCGTTTTTTTTAAACCGGGTCAGAATGTATAGTTCCAAATTGCAAAATGCAGTCCAATTGAGGGAGGAAAATAGATTAAAAAGCCTCCCAATGAGTGGCTCCGTTTCGTCGCTCCTCTGACGAAAGGGCGAATCGCAATTTCCTCGTGAGCCCTGGGTCACGTTCAAATTCATGCTTTCTGGGGTTCATGTGAAAAGTGAGATACGTCCTTATGTCAGAGGAGCAACCTTTTTTGAAACCCGGGGATTTCATTCGTATGTGACCGAAATGAAACCTTATGATGAGAGAAGCCTCCGGTAAAAATTTTAGCTTGAGGATACGTTTGGTTTCGGAGCTACAGCGTTGCAAAGTTTCCATGTTTAAGTCTTAAAAATCTTCATATTTTTGAAGAATTTCTTCCAAAAGCCAACTTCAAAGTAGACTTTACAATACTTACATGACGCGTAACTGAAAAATTATAAAAAAATCTCTAGTAAAAGTTTCAAATTGTGGATGAGCCGTTAATAGCAGTACAACGTTGCAAAAATTACATTTTGCCCTATAAAAATACCCATTTTTTATAGTTCTGTATTGTAGCAGTATTTGAGGCATAAAATATACAATTAGCGATACTCGCAGACTCATAGTAAAATTTATATCAGAATACGATAATTTTAGGCAATGCAGCATTGCAAAGTTTAGACGTAATAGCATAGATTCTATCAGTATACGATAATTTTGGGCTATACAGCGTTGCAAAGTTTACATCTTTCATCTATGAAAATGTCTACTTTTCCTTGTTATTTTATTGGAGACAATATGTGTCAATGGTTAATAGTGTGAGGCAAAATGTGGAGGATTTATGTTGATCCTGGGTGACAATTGCATTAAAATAGCATCGTTGCAAATTTTATCTGCTTTTCTTTTAAAATTCGATTGTATAAAATTAGTTAAAAATAAGGATACTTCCAATAGTTATTTTACTTTAAAATGTAATTCCAGAGGATTTTTGGAATACAATGGATGATTCAGCATCAGCGTTGCTTTCAAGATCTGAAATATTCTGCCTAGACTTAGTTGCAAATTCAACCTTTTTTAGGTTTAATGAAGAAACTAACATAGGATATGGAGGCGTTTGGGTTTTTTTTAAGTAGAAATAAATATTGATACAGACGATACATTCATTATGCCTTAAAAAACTGAGTATGTTGAACGTAAGAATGGAAGATTATGAAAATATTAAAGAAAAAGAAAAAAAAGAAAAAAAAATGCAAAGTAAATTAAATGAACGAAAAATAATAAATACGCCAACAAAACAATAAAATATAATTTAAAACCTAAATAGAATATTTAAATCACTGTTGCGTTAATGTATAAAAAACCCAGACGCCTCCTTAAGAGAGAATTTTAAAATTATTTAAATATGACTTTTGGAGGGTGAAAGTTTAAAATTGGCATCATGTTGAGGCGTTATCTATAGATTTGAAGGCAAGACAGGACTGATACTGAAGCATCACATGAATAAAATATTTTGAAGGAAGAAGATAAAAAACTATAAAAAATACAGAAATAAAAAAAAATAAAAATGAAAAATAATGTACGGTAGAAAGTCATATAAAAATGAAAGGAAAAAATGTCAATGTAAATAAAAAAATAAGCAAAATCAAATAACTACTGGAAGCATCTTTATTTTAAAATCGTCTATTATTTATTGCTTGGAGAGAATTGTGAATAAACTTGGCGAAAGTATTATTGCAAAAACCAATTGTCACTTGGAACAGACATCAGACCTTGATATTTTGGATTGATATGAGGGATGATACCCATTGATTTTATCTTAAACTGGAAAAAAATTTTTTAAAAAAATCATATTTCGTTGAGTTCAAAATTGTAAGCTTAGCAACGCTGTATCACTACAAATCAATCTTACATCTGCAGATAACGTTAATGGTTTATTTCATAAAAAAAAACAAAAAAAAAACCAAACAAACACTGAACTTAAAAATAAAAACATTTTTAAAGCTTATATACATAAACTTTGCAACGCTGTATCGTTAAATCTATACTTACACTCGCGGTAAAACTTTTACACAAGACTAATCTTATCATAGAATTTCAGCTAAACCACATTATCATACCTTTAGGTGGTCAATAAGTTCGTTTTTTAATTCAAAAACGGAACAAAATGAGCATTTTTATAGGTCTGTGATGTCAAGTTTGCAACGTTGTATCAACAGAATTAACAGCATTAACGTAGAAAAATTATTTATTATTAACGTATTTTTTTGGAAAAATGTACACTGACTGTTGATAAAATGTCTTAAAATATCATGAAACATCCAATGACAGTTGTTTACAGAAAGTAAGATACTTGATAATACGATAATCTTTATAGATTGAATATGGAAACTTGTCAACGCTGTATTTCTAAAACCAGACGTATCCTCAAGCTAAGATTTTTACTGGAGACATAGG